CCCCAAAACCCCAAAACCCCAAAACCCCAAAACCCCTTTCTTCACAAAAAATTATAATTTTACTTGATGAAAACAATAGTGAAGAAGAGAGTTAATGACTTGAGCCTGCTCAAGGGCGACAAGAAGAGAACTGAGGTACTGAAGTGTAGTGAGGTTTAGGAATACAGGAGGAAGGATACTGGCTTTGGGTAAGCTGAGTGGGGCAGGTGGTGAGAAGTGATCGGAATAATTTTTGGAGTTTTTGAAATTTTAAGATTTTGGGTTTGAATTTTAAACAAATTGTTGATTTAAACAAAAATTTACTATGAGTTTGGTATAGTTGGAGGAATCAGGACAACTTTGGCTTTGAAATAAAGAAGATTGATGATGGGTAAGTAATAATACTAACTCTTGTTGAACATCTCTAGGTCTAAGCTTGAATATTTTCCTGGTAGTTTGCCAGAGACGACTGATAATCACGGAAATATTCATAATCAAATGATGATTTACAACCCTGGAGAGAATATTGAGTAGGCCCCTTGCTTTCTATAACTGGGCTAATAATATTTTTAGAGACAATGACTTCAGAATTCCAAACGATAGTATATACAAGCAGCTACAAGGTAAATTCTTAGTTTGACTTTATCAGGAAAACACTTTGAGGGTAAAAATATTTATCATCTCCAGATGCTAAAGAAGACAATTTCAAAGAACCAAAGGCTCTTATATGAATTACAAGCTACCAAGAAGAATGGCCTAAAGTCCTTCAAACTATTTGAGGTTGTATTCGAAACATATTTGAAATGCATGCATTTTGACTGTAAGATTAGAAGACTCTTAATCTAACAATATTGACTTTTCTCTTACTCTTTTGTTCAGAAGCACTGGGCTTGAAGATTACAACGCAGATAACTTTGCAATTGTACTAATGCAAGGTAAGCCTCTTAATTTCTGCTTTCTTATAAAAACCTTATCAAAATAGATGGAATTGACAAACTCTCTCTTCCTTTTGAAAAAGAGTTGATTGAAAACAATCTGTTTGATCCAGAAATGTGCAAGCATATAGTTGCAAAGACAGAGCATTATAAACAAGTTAAGAAGAATTTTACTAAAACCAAGACTACTCTAATTTCTTCTCGAGAGGTAATTGTTCCTATTAATATCAATAGCTAGAAGAGGAAAATAAGAATAGGGACTCAGGAGAAGAGTTAGAACGAAGATTCTATGATTATGCAACCACGAATATACTTCACACTTTTGCTACTAAAATCAATGGTAAAAGACTTAAGTTGATGATCGAAAATTGAAAGAATGATGAAGGAGAAGGTACCTAGTCACATCTTAATATCTCTTAGTAGCCTCTTAATGAACTTATAATTTACTTAAAATAGGCCTGGATCTTCATCAGTCATTGGGAGAAGGAAAGACACCATATGATTTTTGTATTGGTAATCTTATCGTGAAATCTCATAGATCCTCTTCAGAATAAGGAAAATATTCCAGAAATAAGATTCTTCTTTGCTGCTAAACATGAGAATACTGGAAAAGTAGAGTCTCATATGATGTTCTTTAAGGGGTTCTGTGATCCTATGAACCCCCGATATTGCCAGTTGATAAATGCAGGAGTGGTTCCAAAGCCAAGAAGTATTTCTCATTTCATAAAATATCTTGACTCTTTCCTAAATTGCGGAGGCGTCTCTGGCGAGCAGGAGGTGTATAACCCGGGGTACAATAATCTGAAGCATGACTGGTGGAGGATTACCAAAAGAATTGAAGTCAAGAACCTTAACCAAGCTTTGGATTTAGAAATTGAAGAAAACCAAGAATATGAAGGAAATGAATTGTCAAAAGATGAGAGAGAGCTTAGGAGAAAATTAAAAGAGTACAAACAAAAGATAGACAAAAATCAATATGTAAAGATAAGTGACTTCGAATGGTACGGAAAATACACAAGGAATTTTTATCATATCCTTGAAGCTTATATCATAACCCTTGCTCAGTATATTGAGTATAAAATTGACTTCTATTTAAACAAATCTTTTGAGTCTACTTTTGGATTTGCTTCTATTCTTCCGTCAGCATTCTGAATGATAAGATGGGAAGCTCTTAAAGGAGAACCATTAAAGGAACTTTATAAGAATTCCAAATCAGGAAATAATACAGCCCAACAAGCCATTCTTTCTGTGGCTCAAGACAGAGTACTTTGCTTTGAAATTCTTAAGAAACAGTCTTCAAATTATTCTTTAAGATATCTTCCTGGTGCTAAAGCTCTAACTGACTGTCCAGAGAGCATTATTGGACTTATTGATCAGAGACGGAGATGGATAAATACTAATATGTCTGGCTCTTGGTATATTATTAGCAATCTTGGCATGATCTCTCGTTCAAAACATGGATGTTGAAGAAAATTCATTTATGGAGCCCTCTACTTCAATATGCTTTACGACCTGTTGTTCAATTTGGTCTTAGTTGGATCTCTATATGCAGCATTTACTACTTTCTCTAAAAGAATGTTTGATAGAGATGACGAAACTTGCAACGACTTGACACTATCAAGAATCTTTGACGTTATTTATATTGTACTCGCTTACTCCTTTTGTTCGATGAGTCTAACCAAACCAATTGAAAGATCTACTTACACATACTCAATACTAACAATTATTTTATGCTCGCTGGTGGCTGCAGGGTTTGGAATCGGATTAATTTTTATGGTTCAGGATGATATTAACATTTATTCATTAAGCATTGTAGGATTTGCCTTAATTTGATACTTTGTCCTCCCATTCATCCCTCATTTATGAGATTTCAACTGGATAAAGTACATTTTAGCCGTTCCAATATTGTTATTCTTGACTCCTTTGTACGTTAGCGTAATGACGATTTTTGCTTTTTCAAACACTCAAGAAGTAAGTTGGGGTAAAAGAGCAACAACAGAAAACATTTCAGATGAAACCAAGAAGAGTCTAGAACAGTTCAGAGCAGGGTTCCTAATGCTATGGATTTTATCAAACACTGCTTATAGTTATGGAACATTATATCTCGATCAGGATCAGAGAAACTATTACATTCTAGTGATATCGGTAAGTAATTTAATGAGCCTTCCTCTAATTGTACTTTATAGCTGCTATTCAGCATTCCAATAATTGTGAAGGCCTTCTTCGCTCTGTTCTATTACTGCATATACTATCCTTGTTATATAAGGTGTGTTATTAACGGACTCGTGAGCAGAAGAAAGAATAGTGAATAAAAAGTATTAAAAAATATAATGAATTTTCAATGATGCCTAAAATGAATGGGGTTTTGGGGTTTTGGGGTTTTGGGGTTTTGGGGTTTTGGGG